GGATGGGACATTCAGTGAAAGCTTGAATGGCATGGTATTGGATGGTATTGGTGAGAGAACCTCACTCTTCGTCACAGGGCAAATTTTTCTCCTTCCTTAAAGGAGGGTAATGCTACAGAAACAATATTTCATTTGACCTCGCCATAAAAAAAATATTCAACAACGTATAATAGGTACCTGTCGAAAACTGTCGTCAAATGCGCTAAAAATCGGGCCACCGATGCCGCCATCTTGAATCTTGTTTAGCACTGTGGCCGCTATCCTGTGACCTAACAGACCTTAGGATATCGCATGGCCGCTCTTAAATCAAATTAATATGAACTTGAGCTCTGGAAAAAGTAAAAACAGAAAGACAGTTAACCAAGGTAGCAGCGCGTTTTGGTTTCCACCACCTGAATTGAATTTTGGGGTGTCAAGCGTTTAGGCGGCCTGCAAGTTACTGAATTTTTTCAAAATGGCGGCTTCCGAAACGCAATTTTTAGCACGCGTGGAAACGATTTTTGTTTTTTTGTAAGTTTCTATGTCCAATTATGGATTGCAGCGATAAAAACTGTACGAATTTTGAAGCATACTTCCTCGATCATAGTACGTACCATTACAGCCACACTTTTTTTAAACGTCCATAAATGCGGCGTCCTTTTAATTCCTCTTTGTCCTCGTTGTTTTGTCTCGCAGAAGTTAAAATAGGAGACAATTTTATAGAGAGTCCAAACTTAGAACCCACTGGAGAGTTTGATTTAGATATAGTATCAAAACCGAACCTTAGAAGCTGGTTACTACGCACGAGACCTGCTATAGACTGAAAAACAGACGTCAAGGTGAGACAAAAACCCATATCTCAGATGAATATTCTGTTTTATCAATTTTAACTTTTATCTTGAACGTTTTGAATTTGTCCATTGAAAGCGCAAAAATGAAATCCCGCGTAAAACCTTCATATCAAAATCGCGAACTTTAGTACCAATAAGTTACTTGTAGTGTAAATTAACTTAGCTACTCCTATGATCAGGAAAGAATGAATGGCCAGAACAAGATGATGAGTTCCCCTGGAACATTATAGTTAAAAACCTAGCAGGAGTTTGTGAGAGGATTCAGACAATTGACCTTTTAGACAGAGGTATTAAGGATTTACTTTATTTGGACGAAGAAAAGCCCCCAGTTGAATTTTATGAATGGTGAGTTATTTTATTATTTAGGAGAAAGACTTTAAGGGTGAACGTATACACGCCATGCAATATCCAAATCGACCAAAACAAACAAATACTTTTGTTTATTTCCATAACCATCGTCAGGAGTTAGAGACATGTGAAAATGTTATTCAAGAATTCTCCATTCTATTAGAGTTTTGTAACTCAGGTTCCACAATTCTGGTCAACTTTTGAGGAACGTACGTGCATCAGTAATTCACACACGCAATAAATTTATGAGTAATGAATTCTTGCGAACGGAAACTTAATTCCCTTTGCTTTGTTAAAATTAATATGAACAAAACTAGTTTCCGTCGGGGTGAAAACTTTGCCTTTGAAGGCCATGCTTCCATATTTCGATCCGCTTTGGGAAATAAAAGATAATTCTATAAACGCATGAGAGATAAAGCCGAGATGGCGTCTTATCAAAAATGGCATTCGAATAGTGTAACCACAATACCGCTTGTCATGACATTTTTGGTGCAGCGACACGAAATGTAAGGCTCTCTTCCATAATTATTTGTTTGTTTTTACGCTGATCTCCGAAGGTCGTTTTCCAATCTTATAAACAATCCGAACTTTGAACCCTCTAGAGGCTTCGACGCGTATGGGTATGCCTACGATATCAAAACCGACCTTTGGAGATTTACTGGTTCTGTCAGCACAGACTACAGACTGGAACATCAACTAAAATGTAAGAAGCAAAGATGAATACGTATCTCAAACAAGAGTGCAGCTTTTCGTGGAAAACACAAGATTTTTTTCCCGACGAATTCACATGCACTTTTAACCATTAAAGAGAGACAAGAATTAAAGACGCGAAGAAGAGATATTGATGGGATTTTCATTAAGTATTGTCTTCGATTAGTTTGTAGCAAGGCTTAGATATTAATGCCTTCTCTTACATTTAAATATCCGCGAGACAGTGTTCCCCCCTATCTATTTTCAGCTGACAGTGATGTTTCACTGGAACAGAGCCTCGAAAAGTACCCCTACTTCGATTAGTTCACAAGAGGTAACAACGTCACGGAACTAGAAGGGATGAAACATGATATCGTTATTTTTTAAAATACAGATGTTCGCGCGCGAAAGCTACCCAATGAAATTTACTCTCTCTTTTCCATTTATATACCTTTCTTTTTATGCACTTCAGATAGACCAGAACGAGAAGAAAAAAGTGCTTGGAATATCGCGGTTAAAAATGCGGATGGAATTGGTGGGAGAAGTCAACTTTAGACCTTTTGAGTAAAGAAATCGCTATAGGATATTTAGACCAACGAAAGCCGATTGAGGTTAAAGAATGGTTAGTTGGAAAATACTGCATTTTCATAAAGACAACAACAGTGATAGTAGTTAGTAGTATTTTTATATTTTCATAGTAATGTTGTTATTCAACTTCTCGAGTATCATTACTATTATATCATCAGTATTTATTTTATTGTTATTGTGATTATTATAAACAAAAGTATCGCGATCCTCCTATCGTTAAGCTGACGAGAGAAAAAACAGTGTTTCACGGTATTTACGTCTCACTTTTATGGCTTTTGATCGGCTAATATTATTCATTCATCTATTTTTCCATAGGTTCGCAGTCGAAACTGGAGGTTCCGGTGCTTGTGAAATTAAAGTGTCCCTCCTTGACGGCTCTCAAACTGAACTTCCTGAAGATCAATCTTTTACAGTGCGTAGAGAGGTTACAGATGCGCAAGGTTCCTGGGAGCATTTGAGTCACACTTTTACCGAGTACCCTTCAGGATTACGGTGCATTCAGTTCGAAGAACGACTAAAGAGCAATTCCATGGTTCCAAAGAACTTTGATTTAAAAGTGTTTCAGCCTTCTGTCAAGTTTTCTGAAAGGTAATTGGAAGGAACTGGGCACTAAGAATCGAAGTGGATGTTTATCAGAGACACCTTATTGATCTAGTGGTTACCTTGACTCGTTAACGGAACAATTCACTCGTATCAAGAAAAGCGGATCAGCTTAAAGTTAAGCAGGCTTTGTTTAACGATTAACAATGACTGTATATGGCTACTTTGGAACAATGGCGGATTTTTTTTCAAAATTTCCGATTATCATACGAGCGGCAGATTTAAACCACTTGACGCTTGCCATGCATTGCGGATGTCTCTCTCAGAGGATGTCAGGGCCATGATACCGCCACTAAATGTTATAAAAGATGAAAGCAAAAGACAAAATCAAATTGTTGAAATTCATCATATATCTGAGGTAAGTAGCTCTCTTTTTTTGACAATGAAAGGACCTTAATGACGAAAATCAGCTGAAATTTTAGCTGTCTGCTGAGAAGTGACGGTTTTGTGTAAATGATAGTTAAATGGCAAAAACATTTACTGAGGGACCTTGTGATGGACTCACATCTCATTTACTTGGAGTAATGCCCCTTGTCCCTTTTTCTTACAGAAATTAGTGACAGAACAATTGACTGGAACAGACTTTCATCTGTTTATCTTGAAAAAAACAAAATAGAAAGAGCATTTTGATAACATTTAATTGGTACTATCTTGTTTTAGGCGAAAAAAGGAGATGGGGCACGGCAGAAAATTGGTGAAATTTTAGAACAACTCCTACTGAAAAGACTTGGTTACCAATGAGTCATTGGTAACCAAGTATTTTCAGTTAACATAAGTGTGTTTTCTACCCCGATAGTTATTCCAGGGAGAGCTATCGCGCACCAAAGGGACAAATATCTTTTAAAATGTCGGTAACCGATTTAAACTTTGTTCTTTTCAGCCCTTACGACAAAGAGATCAACGAGTACATCAATCTCCTCCTGAATAAGATGTATCTTTTTCTTTGCCTGGGTT